GATTAATAAAAAAATTGTGAACAGACCGGTGCGTTGATTATTTTCCTGATACTCGAACAAGAAGAATCCACGACGACGCGTCTTGTAAAATGATCATTATTACTATTATTAATGTCTCGTCACGAGTAAATGCTCTATCATTATTGCCTCGTTACGTTGGGTTTGATGCGAAAAATCTCTACGCGAGACGTGGGCAGTACTCCGAGCACTTCGCGAGCGTGTGCGCGCGCGGAAAAAGTTGCGCGGTCGAAGGCCTCGTCCGAGTAAAAAGTCACGCCGGTTAAAAACGCGTTCTCCTCGACTTGCGAAAGTGTGACGACCAGCGAGTACCTGCAGACTTCTGCGCGCACGTATAATGCACTTCGTGTCGGTGTAAACTGCAACGAGTAAGTAAACATGTTTAGCGCCCACTCGAGAGATTCGCGATGGTTCTCAAAACGCGAGACGAGCGGCGCGGGACCACCAGAGGAGAATCATTCGACTGCCGACTTCTTCTTCCCCTCCGGGGTCCTCGCGGCGATGATATCGCCGTTACGGTGCTATTGTGATTATTCCGTTTGCACAGCCGACAACGGAATATCGTGTCGATTCTCAGGGGTTCTCTCTCTTTCACGTATATGCTTTAACGACTCCGTGTTAAGCGACGTATACAATCGAGATTTTAAGGCGTAAAATTTTTACTTTAAGCACTATAGGCCGTAAGAGAAACTGACCAATCGTAATCAAGTATTTTCCTCACATTTCACTGCGATTGGTCGAAATTTAAGACCCACGCTTTAAAATCTCACTGTGTATAGACGCCGCTTAATACAAGCTCAACTCGGTCGAGAACGAACGTTAATTAGGGACGTAACAAACTTACCCGTCGTGCGCGCACGAGAAAAGAAATATCAATTCTTTTGTTTATTTTATTATCGATCTACACAGCATGGGTGCGCGTTTAACGATGCGTTGAACGCCACACGTGCTGAACGGGGACGAGAAATAGACTGTTAAAACACACCGGCACGCGCAGACGAAGTTGAGCTTAATTTGCGACGCGATTGTAACAAAACACTAGCCGCACGGAGCTTTCATTTACGGATGATTAATTTTGCATCCGCGCATGCCCGAGCATCTTGAGTCCGCAAATCGTTGCGCTCGCCCACGTTCCATTACCGCCGTCGTGTTATATAGCGGCAATAACGCAATACGATTCGCGGACTTCGTCCTATTATACGCGAAAGCCGACCAGATGATTCATCGCCGATACCAACGGCCTTGTTATCAATGAGCCGCCACTTTTAAGCCATTAACCCCGTGTGTCGAAGGTTTATCGCTCGCTGCGGAGCGAGTCTTTTTCTTTCCATTTCAGCGATTCGCGGTGGAAAACACGTATTATGCGAACCGTGCGGAAATCATCGGGGCAAGAAAATGCGATTCGTCATCGACCTTGAATCCGTCACGGCGCGAACGCTCCCTCTCTCGTGGGATCAGAGGGAGCGCACGTGGAAAATAATCGCGAAACCATAGTACCGGATAACAAACAAGCGGGCACGTGGAGAGCCGGTGCATCGTCAGTTTGAACTTGTAAATTCCATTAAGCGCCAAGGCTGCATAATCCCATTGGACGGTACGTCCAATCAGCGTGAATTTACAACTAAAGGATTTGTATGAGCGTGCAACTTGCTATTCAGAGGATGCAGCTTAGTTGTGAAACGCACTGCGCTCGTTAAATCGTCGACGAACAAGTGCCGCGTTCGATGGTATGCGTGAACGTGAGGCAAAATCGCGACAAAATCCTGTCCAGTATAACCGGAACGAAATTGAAAACAATTTTTCGCATTCCGCGGAAAGAAAAAGAACCGGAAAGAAATCTGGAGCTCCATTTTCATCCTATCTCCCTGAGATTGATTGTTAAATCAATGATTTCCAATAGTCTATTCTTTGTTAGATATCAATGATAATCCAATTCCTTGAGTTAAATAACATGTTATTATTTTTAACTTTCATGTGTGTCGAAATGTAAATCAGACCATTTCTGTGGTTTACAGTTTCAAAATAAATAACACGTCCATATTAATGTATACACTTGGTAAATAATATTTGAGCCCAATTTAATAAATTTTGTTGAGTTAAATTGATTAACTTTAGTGTTTTAGTTAAATTAACGACGTGTGTAATAGAAATGGCGATCTATAGAAATGATTGGATATAATTTGACATTATGAATTTAACAGGGTAAACGATAGTTACAACGACAAAAATAATAATAATTTGTAATTTGGAGTATACGTATTAAGTGCTAATTCCTAACCAAGCTTTAAGTGACTCCTCTCCACTGACCGTTGACTCGACGTTGAGTTCTTGTTAGTCGCACTCGAAGCGAAACTACGAAACAGGACGGGTATATCCCGAGCTTAAGTCAGTCCCTAGCCGAGTAATTAATTTGCATTCGCGAGACCAACACAGTCACAAAATTATTCACAGTAAGGGCGATCTGTTTCCTATCTCTACACACTACTATTCCAAGCAGCCGACTTGCTCAGATCACACCATTAGTCCTCGTTAATTAACGATGTTAAGATAACGTCACGACGATAGCCATTGCTGCTACATCCTCCTAATTCCCTGTCAACACACAAATTCTATTATACAAATCTCTGAGAGGGCGCGATTAACTCCAAGTACTCGCTCGCCATGTAAAACGAAAAACGAGTTTAACTGCCACGCCTTTCGAGAAATAAAGTATGTATTTTTCAGTCAAATGTATATTTTTCACATTATCTCGTTCTTCGCTACCGAATGCGATCTCTCGCCTAGATCTGTTAGTTGTGAAAGCGACGATCGCGCACCGCGCGAAAACGGAATCGAGGCAGCAGCGGACACGTGTACGATCGCGCGTAATTGAAGAAATTTACGCGTACGTTGTTTAACGGCCGTGACAATTAGAGATGGAGAAAGTAAGGAAATGGGTATTAGCGAGTCACCGTCGTCCTCTAACAAGACGTCTTCGATGAGGTGATTTAACGAGGCATCGTAGTTAATATACTTCGTTGAATCATGATTGATCAAACACGTCGTTGGTCAATTAGCAGACTTGTCGATGTATTTGGAGAATTTCGAGATTTTCAATAATCGCCGTCTGATATTGCTGGAAAGTCTGCTTTTAAAACTAACGTCGCGCGCGCGCGCGCGCTCATATACTTGTACACATACGCAGAATTTGCATTTGCACACAGGAAACTTTCGCGGAAATCTATATGGCCAACCGTTCGATTGTCGGTTTCAAGAGACGGACAACTCGGTGAAATCAACTCAATTAGCGTTGAATGTTTTACTCGCGGAGAGAATCCCGAATTAAGAATGCGCATATCCGCCAAGCGGAATCAGGATCGCTCACACAATTCGTACGAGTAAAATTGACCGTGAATTTTTCTGACCTTCTTCCTTATATTATATATTTGACAAAGGCTCCGTGGCTTTTCATACGCAAACTCCGATCCACTCTATAAAAAACACCGTTTGTGCACTTTCGTTTGACAAATATGCATTTAATAATGCACTGCCCGACGGAAGATCTTTCTGCCCTCATTTCTATCGCACCATATTTCATATACTTTACGCCGTAATCACTTTCACAAATTTGCATAATTATCATACTTCCGTATATCTTACATTCGGACGATAAATATCGCTATATTGCGCTTCGATTAATTTCTTACTCAGTTAGTATAAAGTTCTACAACCCCATCTATGTTGCAAATTGAAGCAAGATTACTTGAGCAAATTCAAGTTCGCCTTACAGTAAGAAGAAAAGTTTGATGATTGTTCAACGTTTAAAAAAAGTAATTTACAACAAGCAAGCAGGGGGAACATCATGGTCCACGAAAGTAACTGGAACACGAGAAACTCATTGATTATTTTCTCGAGCAGAGGATAACTTGAGTTAACTTGAAACACTTGCTCTGGCGCAAGTGCGGGATAGTAATCTCTAATAAGGCAAGTTATTTCCGAAGAGACTTGTTAGTGAAAACGCACGCGGACACAACTTTGGGATTTCTCCCGTGCAATAAACCTATTCAACTATAACAAGATTTACGTGTTCGTTAGGTTATAACTTATCTACGCATTACTATTAGTATCGATATCGGTTTCTCTTCATACATATTTAATCGCTCATTATTCGCGTGGATCGTACACCTCCTGCACCTTGTTTTGCTAATTGTATGAATTTATACTCATTATTGTATTTAACGCAAATTGTTTCACACGATTAAAAAGAAATTGTATTTCTTAATTTTTATCTGAAAGATGTATACACAGAGAGAACTGTGTTACCGAAATATTTAAAAGATTAGCTAGATACAGATGTAAAAATAATTTTATTGGGCCATGCTTATCGAAATAATTACGTTTAAACTGATTGCAAGAATGTTAAAAATTTGCAGCCAGTTCATTGTTTCAAATTTTTACATATTGTTTTGATAGTCCAACAAAGGTATTTTCGGATCTGTATTTAGCTAAACTTTTAGACACCTCAATAAAATCGTTCTTTCAGTAGAATATAATATCAATCTTTATTATTGTTAAAATATAAATCATCAGAAAGAACAATGAAAATTGAGAGATAATGTTAGGATGTCAGAAGCACCTCACGAATAATAGAAAGTTAAGTGTCAATAACAATGACGATATGTCGCCTGTTGTAACAGAATGCATCGCAAAAATATCCGCGGTCATACGCATATCCGGACACCCGAGTCGAAGCGGATACAAACTGTTCTCCGCCATGTTATTAAACGGCCCTTCCTGTACGATGTAACGCGACATGCATGCTAATCGAACGAGCTTGTATCGACAAGTTCCGACCCACGTGGGTAGAAGCCGTCGTGGGCATCTACTTGACTGGACCAGCGGATTAGCGGTTCTCAGCGCGGATTTCTCACCGTGACTTGTATAATCCTCCGGCCATCGAGAAGATCGACTACGATTTCTAACGACAATTTAAATTGACTCACCCTCCCCTTCTTTTCTGTCGCATGTTCTTTGGATCGCCTACTCACCTGCAAATCAGAATAGCACAAGAAAATTAGAACTGATAGAAATCTTTAACTTAATATTGGTATGTCCTATTCTAAGAAGCGTTTCTTCTTTAAATAAAATTGCAATAATGGGAAATATAAACTAAAAAAAATTGAATTTTTATAATCGTAGATTTTAACCGCGTCCTGATTTACATTTACGCGTAAAATTCCTGTGTCGAGATCGAATGAATACACGTCTCAAGATCGTTTCTTGTGTCGAATGCATCGGATGAGTGACTTGAACGAAGGAATGTGCCAATAAAGGCGCAAGTGCAACGACTGACAAATTACTTCGATGCATTCTGCGACGCACTGATAAAGTTCATTGGGCTTTTGTGGTCGCTCGTTGCTCTTTGTCGTTCTGTTACGGAGAATTAACCATCTCACTTTGCTAAACTTTGCAGTGCACAATCGCGACGCTACGTGAAATGAAAGGAATTATCGCGAATGTGCGAGACCAGAATCGTAATATTTATACTCTGAATAAACAATAGAAGTAAAATTAATTATACGATTATACAAATGTACTATATCTATATAGGATACTCTCTGCTCTTTCTCTGTCTCTCTCAGACCACTTTTTCTTGGACAATTGAGTAAATATATGAAATATTGAATGCTAACTTTTATTGCGTTTTAAACAGGTGTACTTTCACCGAACGCCCAGTTTTAAGTAATTAAACTTGCATGACTGTAATTTCTAATGTGTGTCACATCTCATCGAAAACAAGTTGTACAGAAAAAAACATTATATCGCGCTGCAATATATTACGATCGATAGATTAAAGTACATGAGCCATTCCCACTTTTGATTGGCGATAAAATTTAACGTTCATATACGGTAATAAAATTATTCGCGTTGGTGAAAACGACGTATTAAATCAGGACGACACCGTGCGAAACTTTCGTCAAGAACATTTCGTGCGTAAGGTCGCCGTCCATGGAATTCGCCGAAAAATTCATGACGTTTTCGGCGAAGTCCCACTTACGAAATTAACAGGGAAACCCTGTTTCGTTCGACCCACTAACCACCTGATGAATCGCCTCGCAATTTTAGCGATTCGCTAATGTGACGACAGTGTCGCGTGATGCAACCGTATTACACGTAAACGTTACAGGCGAAAATGTCAGCGGAAAGCGTGGCATCGAACGCATCACTGACACCGATATAGTTGCTAGCTAATGAACTTCCGAGTTCTTACTCAACAAAACAACACGCGACATCGTTAAATAAATCTTTAACGTCCTTGTTGTCGACGACACGTGTAAAAGTAATTTGCGATTCTTCGCACGACTAACCAATGGCATTCGATAATAATGTGTTTTGTAATGACGATCGTTTCTTATGGTCTCATATTATGCTGACGATTCGAAGAGTATTTAAAGTCTTATTGAAGATGTGTGTTTCTACGAATATTGTGACGGAAATTAATAAGTCTTAAGCGTATTCTCGTTTGCTTTCAACCGATGAGTGTTTAACCTTTAAGTAGATGTAGGTAGCTTAATGGTACACAAATTGATAAGTGTGAAGCACTCAGAGCAAAATAAAATTTTAATTTTATAATCATATTTTATATTTTATGTGTACAATTATATTGTATAATTATTCATAATTATTTTATACTTTTTTACTAGTATATTATGTTTATAGACAAATTTAGAGGAATGTAAAAGTAATAAACTTTAAAACTTTCTATGTAAGCAGTGTATATGTTTTGCCTTTTCCATAATAAAGTTTTAAAAACTATCTAATAAGAATGTTATGTATAGTCGTATCATCTCTACCCAATTAAAGATTTGACGTGCGTCAATGTATATATGGTCCTTCACCTCATATGAATCCTTGGATAATGACAGGTCACGAATGTTTTCTCTCTTCGGAAGAGAAACACCAACGTGTTTCACGAGGGTATCCTGATAACGTCGCGAAAAAGGTCGCCGAATTTTTCTAGTCTCGCGATACGTTTCAGAGAAATCCAATTATCGTGGCAACGAATGAGAGCAAATGGAGAGGCGAGCGAGAGCGCATGATAAATGGCACGATAACGCGCTACCGCCGGCCGCGGCAGATGCATTGCTATATACGCCGCGGCTACTGCAAACCGCGAATCGCGCGCATAATGCTATTCTTTCATGCGTGTATCTGAAAGGTCGTCGGATTTCGCGAGCGGTCTATTATCGGGCGTATGATAAGACGCTCTCTCTCTTTCTCGCGCGCGCACGCAATTATACATATATTATCGATATATGTATAATTGCGTGCACGAGAACGTAGCCGTCAATCTTCGCGATGTAAACCCAAGGCAAAACCCAAGGCGAATTATTAATCTCTCCTTTTGCCAGGTTATTTAATAATAGTGATAAAAAATCGAGAAGAATTACATTCCGCGATGTTAAACACTGCTAAAAGTCAGTCATCAATTAATGATCATCCCGATTCTTTTCACGGTCTCATGATAAAAACTTGGATCTCATTCAAAGCGTCGTGGTAAGGAAAACATTGCGCACTGCTTTAAAATCTCACCGTGGTGAACTTGACGTTCAGGAAGTCGTAGTATTTCACCAGGAACTTCATTCTGCAGCTTCAACTGTCAAAACTTGATGCACAACGATGTAGCGATTGGCGTCTGTCGCGAATGTATAAATAATACAAGCGGTTAAATACGACATGACATGCGCATGCAACAGAACAAATTGCACTAAATCATCGACAAAAGATATAAAAACGTTGCTCTTTTTCGATAAACTTACACGCGAGACGCGTAATGTTATCAGCATAACGCTGTAATATCTCGTCGGTTATTCCCGTTCTCTGTAATGAGCCACTGAAAGAAAAAAAATAGTTGTGACAACTATTTTTTGACAACGTTGGCAATTATAGTATATCTGTAACTATAGGTTTATAGAATTATAGAGTTATAGCTACTAATCTAGTTATACTCAACGATAAAAATAAAGTTATTGCAACAATATTTGTATTTCTATTAATTAATAGTGAAATAGCATCTCAACAAGAAGTTATAATTATAAGTATAGAGTTTCATGTATATTTATAATTAACTTCTTGTTGTGTGTGTGATGAGATCTTAAGTAGTTAACTAGTTACTCAGACGTTATAAAAATGAAACATATTATATTTTTCTAATTTAAACACTTTTTTTTGAAATAAAGCATACTATAGTAAATAATTAATTATTGTCGAACTAACTTTGAAAAATACATTTAAAACCTTTTCACTAAAGTCGCTCAGCCATGAGCAGTACACGGCATTGTCACCAAGGATACAGCGAAGTTCAATTTCTCCTAATTGTAAGAAGAAAACCACTTATTGCCAGCATACAATAAAAGACACAAACATTAGGTTCGAACTTCGAAAACAAAAAGTAAATGAGAAATGCATCTCGACAATACAATTTTTAGTTCTGTACAAAAATTCAGTAATCTTGAAATTTCTCAAAGAGTTATCTATATATATAAAAATTTATAACTATGTATCATAAAGTTTTAATAAAAATAATAAATAAGTTAAATGAACTAAGAAAATATAATAATATTAATCATTTTTGTGGTTGATTAATGTTATTATACGGTTAATATTACTATATATTTTTTTTCAGTTCATATACAATTTATTTAGTGTTCTTATTAGAATCTTATAATATATAGTTGAGGTTTATAATTACTGATACGACTTTTTTCTCTGACGATGAGTGCAATGAATAATTAGTAATTATATTTCGCTAGAAAAAAAAACGTACAGATCGATCTTTTAACCAAGAGAACGAAAGTTTTCTTATTTCACGAGAGAGAGAGAGAGAGAGAGAGAGAAGCATGATTCATTACGCGTTAATTACATCGTTGATTTGAGATCAAGTGTTCTAACGAGGTAAGCCGACCTCAATAAATCTTCTGCTAATTTGTCGTTATTTTTTGGAAACAGGACGTTGTCGATACGACTCAATTGCAGGATTTTGATGCGATTCACTCAACGTTGCAAATGCTTCGTTGAGCAATCAGAGAGAAGAAAGAATTTTACAAATTAACTAATCAAAGTATACTTAGAGGAGAAATATCAAGTACAACTCGAGCGATGAAGAAAAATGCGTAGCGTTATGCAACTGGTCGCGTTACGGTATAATTGACTCGACGTGCATTTACGCGTCTCGGCCAATGCGAGAGACTAACGATGTGGCGCGTGCACACGCGTGAAAATAACACACGCATGTTATTCGCTGCATGTCTGTTTCAAACCGCCGCTTTCTAATACACCGTGAAATACATTGCCCACGACTGCATCGTGAAAATACGCAGCGCATGTTTCGTGGCGAGATATTGCGTGAGATTTTCACGTAGCTTATCAAATTTTTCACTGGAGAGCAGCATGCGAAGAATCGCGAACGTACTGCGAAGTAACAATTTATTTTATACACTTCATAATTTGATCACATCTATTTTATCACTTATACGTTATTATGCGTAGATTTTTATTTATATCGTTATACTTTTAAGTAAATTGGCATTCAAAAATACAGTATCGGAAAAAAAATTAGAACGATAGTATTTAATTGGTGATTTGCACGCGTATGTCTAAAGATCGACCTACTTTCCGTTCGAAGTGGCGATCGATCGAGCCCTAGAGAACGTATATTTATTCACGCAATGTCAATTAACGTCGCCGTGGTCCGCTATAACGGTGACCCGCTTCGTCAAGGGCTAAATCGATTTCAGATTAATCACACTGCACAAATCGACATCGAAATAGCGGAACTCGCCCGCTATTTCGCCCGATCAGCTGATCGATCCCGGTATAGCGCGACGTATATACTGCTATTATACACTCCACACCGCGTTATGCAATCGGTCTTCGTGGCGTTTAGAGTCCGTGATGAGGAACCTCGCGCGAATATGTGCACGCACGCATTCCGGTGCGTGCTCAGCGTACACTTACGCAATCGCAGCCGCGGTCTCCTCTCCGCGGC